GCCCGCGCTCCCGCCTCGGCCCCGAGCCAGCCCGGGGGAGCCGCCGCGGCTCCCGCACTCCGGAGCCTGGCCCGACTGAGGACTGGGGGCCCGGCCCGCGGCTCCCCTCGGGGCTCATCCAAGGGAGGAAGCGTGTGGGTACGATGCCGACGAGGAAAGAAGAAAAAAAGAAAGAGCTAATGACTTGGCTCCCAACCTGTCAGCGTCGCCCTGTGAGAGCTGCCAGAGCAACGGGGCTTCGCATCCCGGGCGTCCCTCGGAGCTCTGACCCCCCACCCTGCCCCGGCCGGGGACATGTCTTGGGGGACTGCAGTGCCCTGCGGTTTGGAGGCGATCAGCCCCCCTGTCAGCTGCGTGGGGTGCGAGCCAGGAGTTGAAGTACCAGGGAAAGGGAAGGGCTGGGGTGGCAATGGGACCCGGACGCCCCCAGCAGCAGCACCTACCTTCTTTGGGCGGCCGCTTGACTTCTCTGCTGAGGTTGCACACCTGGGTGGTTTGCAGCTCCTGGGTCAGGCAGCCCTCGGTCTGCTCGTTAAGGGGCAGCACCACGTTATTGAGCAACACCAGGGACTGGTCGTCTATTCCCCATTCTCCCAAATGCTGAGGGCAGGTGCATTTTGTATACATGATCCCACAGGACTCGGTTCTCCCGTTCTCGGATTTCAAGCAGCTCTCCAGCCAAGTGCATAATACGTGGCAACCAAACTGGCTCGGGCTCACCTTGTTCAACACCAAAAACTCAAAGAAGGATTTCTGGTCGTCTTCCCTTTTCTGTAATCCTGGGAAATCGATGGGGTAAACTCGGCGGATCTGAATGAAATTCTTATCATATTGCAGAAATACAAAAGCATTCTTGGAATCGCAGAGCTGCATTATAGAGTGGTTATTTTTTAAAAGATCCTTTATTTTCTCATGAGAAAAATGATCAAACTGATAAGCCAAGAGGGAAAAGTTGGAGCAGCTGAAGTCTTTTTTGGAAAATTTCAGGTAAATGCTATATTTGGTCGGATCTGGATTTTCCAGCGTCCAAGTGCAGTTTGTAAAGTTTTTAGGAAACATCTCACTTACAGAATACGATCCATAAATGACCCCCTTCACCAGCGTGGAACACCAGAAGTCTTGGGCAGCATTAAATCCAAACATAACCAGTAGATAGGTGGAAAATATATAAATCAGCAAATTACGAACAGCCTTCATCCTATGTCATTTGGCCTGCAGGAAATGAAATGAAATTAAATGCAAGTAGAATCCTTCACGCATTGAAAACCAAACTCCTTCCAATAGTCCAGCCAGCTGTTTTCAAGATTCCAGTTAGAGCCCTTTTAAAAAAGAAGGGCAGGTAATTTTTATTTTATAACGCAAGGAAATTGTTTGATGCTGTGTGAACAGCGCCATCACGTGGCCATCACAACAGTCAAATTCCCTAAATTCAAATAAAAAAAAATTACGTTTATTAGATTATTAATAGGAATGCCCTCACTTATCTACCACGTATTCACCTTGGCGTAATCCGGAACTCTTCAATGTAGATAAAACCCAGGGACTTTTATCCCATAGACTAAGAAAAGGGGTATTCATTTTTAAGTCAATACATGTATAAATGTACTATATCTATAGAGTGTGCACTATATATATGTGCATATATATATGTGCATCTATTTGCATATATAGTATGTGTGTGTGAATGTACACACAGATAATCTCTCTCGACCAGATCAGTAAAGCCGGTAACATCTGTCGTTACATATCATTGTTTCTATTAAATCTGAGAAGTAATAGTGATGAATTACAACCATAATTTTAAAAATGCACAAATTATTATTTGCTACAGATGGAACATTATCTCCCATATGTCTACATGCCTTTGCAATGGCCACCTGGTATACAGAGGTCTCTATAAAAAGCAAATCCTGGGAGGAAATAACTAAGATTAATATGTGTTAATAAAATCTTGAAACTGGTATCTGGGAAAGACATCTAGGTAGTTAGATGGAACTAGTGGCTGTCTGACACTGACACCGAGACCCAGCATTTTAGACAATCATTTCAATGTGATAACCTCCAGGGATCTATCAAGTGGATCAGTATATTAGCATTGATGGCCAAGGACAGTATGGAGTGAGCCTTGCTACACAAGGATCTCTGTAACTGGACTGAGTTTCTTAGCTGCCCTTTGATGATGACTATTTTGTTCAGTAGGGTTATCCACTGGATTTTGCAGATGTGCACCTGAGCGATGAAAGGCAGATGTCATTTTCTGTGCTAGCATCTCCAAATAAAGCTTTTCATGCACCCCCTCCACAGTTACAGCCTCCACATGCTCTGCTCTAACAGGGGCCTAGGACAATGAAGTGAACCTTGGTTATATTTACCTCTGTAATGTTATTCAAAAAAATTAAACTTGAGAACGTTTTCAGATTTAAGAAGTTGCTAATCTCTTACAACTGAGTAGCTTTCCGCTGTTTGCATGTGGGAGCAGACAAAAGTGATGCCAAGTTAATCTACAAACTCTTTAGACTGTAGCCTCCTCCACGGTTGCTCTGGAAGCAGAGACAGACACAGACCCAGACACAGTTACTGAGTTTGAACGTGTGTCTTTGCCCGGCTTTTCATCCCCCCTCCAAATTGCAAGGCACCCTCCTGTCTCCAGCTATTGCATAACCCTCAACACATCGGGGATTAAATTCCTTTGCAGAGAATCGTGTATTTCCCAGATATAATCCCAACTCTAAATCTTGAGATGGGCAAAGCAGCACCAACTCCAACCCTTTTTAAAGCTGCGGTTTAAAAACAACCCCCCTACCCCCCCAAAAAAAATCACCAAACAAAAAAACCCGAGCTGCCGACGGATCTACCCAAACCATTGGATTTTGCCTTTCCCGACCGCATCTCTTAGCAAAGAGCCGGGTCCTCTGCCTCGAAATCGGGTCGAGGAAACATTTAAAGACGGGAAAAATAGAAACTCAGAGGCAATTCTAGATACAATTTCCTCTTTGCTGGAGCACTTCTCAGGCAATGCAGCTCTACGCAGCGCTATTCAGGATGGTGGAGGCGTTGGAAGCCAGGGTGACAGTAAGTGTCTAAATTCGGATTCCACCCATGAAAAAGGATTCATGTTATAATCCGAAAAGCGAAGGGGAGGGGAAGCGGGGAGGGAAGGGGTTATTTGGTCATTTATTTTAAAATAAAAGCCCTCCTCTTCTTTCCCACCTATGCTGGGTGGAAAAAAAAATAAAGACGTCTGCAGTGCCAGGCTGTTTTCTACGGGGGAACCTAGTCAAATAGCCATCATTTCAGCTGCGCGTTGGTCCAAGCAAGACTACCGAGACAGAAAATGATTTTAACGCCCCCCCACACCCCCCCCCCCC